CCTATGAGTTTAGTTTGTTTTTCTTTTTAGATTCCTCATATAAGTGAGATCATACAGTATTTGTCTTTCTCTGACTTATTTCACTTAGCATAATGCCCTCAAGGAACTAGAAAAGAACAAATGCAACCCAGAGTTAGTGGAAGGAAGGGAATAACAAAGATCAGAGGAGAAATAAGTAGAACAGAGACTAAAAAGACAATAGAAAAGATCAATGAAACCAAGAGCTGTTTCTTGTTTAAAGATAAATAATATAGACAGATCTTTAGCTAGACTCACCAAGAGAAAAAGAGAGAAACCTCAAATAAAATCAGAAATGAGAGAGGAGAGGTTAGAATTGATACCACAGAAATACAAAGGATCCTAGGAGACTACTATGAACAATCATATACCAGCAAATCGGACAGCCTAGAAAGAATGGATACGTTCCTAGAAACATGCAATCTACCAAGTCTGAATACATTTTGAGGAAAATTTTAGTGATGTTAAGCTGTGATCCTTTCCTTAAAGCTTGACTTGTCCATTTTTCTTTCTGGGAAGAATGGTAAAACCGCTCTTGAAACAATCAACCTGACTTCATTTACCTGTGTGCCTCTTTCTCCCCCATGCTTTCCTCACATGCAACCCTCCAGTGTGTTTCTGACTAAGGTTTGGGTATTAATGGTTAATTGGGTGTAAAAAGCTATAGCAGCCCTTAAAATGGATTTTCTATCTTGTTGCTTGTGCCCTGAGGTAGACTTTAAACTTGGTGAATCTGTTCCCCTTCTCAGTACAGTTGACAGGTAAAACTTCAACAATGGTTGCGTTGAAGATGGAGCTGTTCTGAATACCTAGGTACCCCTGACAGCACACTCATCCTCGCATTCAACAAGTCCTCTTTAATGCCTTACACATGTAGCTGTTGTTTGTAAGATTGAATGGAGGTGGGGGTGTTGAAATTCACTCTGCTGCTTCCCCAGCTTCCAACAGGGCTAAGAGTTAGAAACTACCTCCTTGGACCCTGAACCCACTTAGATGCTGGTGATTGTGAAGACATGGGCATTGCAGGGCATGCAGACACAAACTATTTAAGTGGTTTTACAATCTTTATTGAACACTACCATGTGTAAGCTGCCCTGGTCCCAGCTCTAGGCCAAAGGTGGGGTTCTGTCTTGGGACACAGCCATGGGCTCCAAAGCTGGCTGGGTTGGCCACAGGGGGACATTGAGGGTGGGTTGGGGGCCAGTTTTCAGCCTAGAGCCAAGGCCTGCAGAAGACTGTTGATGAGTGTATGTTGCTGGAGAACATGGGTATGGAGAACGTGGGTATCTGCCCCCTTTCCTTGGGGCAGAAATTGTAAGCCCTTGGTAATATCCATAACTTCCACTTCATTACAAAAGGACACATTTCTTTCTTTCTTTTAAATATAGAAATATAAACATAAGCAAGCTTTTTTTTTCCTAAGCAGGGAGTGTTCATTTCTTTGTTGCAGAAGCTTCTCAATCAATCTGTCCTGAGGCCCTAGGGCAGTGTAGGATACGTGCTCAAATTGGTAGAATTGGCCCTGGCCGGTTTGGCTCGGTGGTTAGAGCGTTGACCTGTGGTCCAGAGAGACCCGGGTTCGGTTCCCGCTAAGGGCACGTACCTCGGTTGCAGTTTGTCCCCGGCCCTGGTTGGGTCGTGCGGGTGGCAGCCACTCGATGTGTCCCTTTCATGTTGATGTTTCTCTCTCCCTCCCACTCCAACTGAACAAAAAATGGAAAAATGTCCTCGGGTGAGGATAAAAAAAAAAATTGGTGGGATTGGGTGGGATATACAGACCTAGGTTTGACAGTACCGAATTGAGAACAGTGGCCAATATAGAGAGGATCTTTTGGTCTCCTTTGCTCCTCACAGGAAGGAAAAATCCTTTTGTGAAGGAATCAGGGCTTTGTAGGCTTCCATGGAGGATTTCCCCCAATGATTTCCCTGCTATTCATTCATTCATTCTTGTATTCATGTATTTATTTATTCAGTGTGCAAGGTACTATGCTTTACTCTTTGGATAAATGAATGAATGAGTGAATGAATGAATGAATGAATGAATGAATGTAATTATTCTGGGCTTTAGTGTCCTCATCTTTATACAAGTTGAACTAGAATATCGCTGAAGAGGGCTAGTGCAAGGCTGAGGATCATTTTTCTCATATCTCCAGCCTGAATCTCACAACCAAAGCAGCAGGCTATAGGAAGAAATAGTACTGAACAGCTCTCATTGGTACGGGGGCCAGACCGCCCCTCCCCACCACGGCGCCTGCAATGGGAAGTGTACCCACCAGGGGATGAGCAGTGTTTTTATTGCCTGCCCCTCCACTCACTGAGTGGCTAATGATAGATCTCTGCCGTTTCCCTGCTGGCCACTCCTCTCAGACTGTGCTGTGACAGTGATACAGGCATCTGGGGGTATGGTGAGGTGAAGACACCCCTGTTTTCCCAGCAGGCAGCCCACCGATCCTGCATATCAGGAGCACTTCTTTCAGGGATCTTGGGCTTGAGCCGCTTATTACTGGAAACAGAAACGTTTTAGATACTGTCAAACTGAATTAAATGGAATTGGCCCAGCTGCCCTGTGCTTTGGGGATTATCCCAGGGACTGCTCATTTGTGGTCCGTGCCCTTGGTTTTTCCCTCCTGTCCTGTGATTACAGGAGAACGAAGGTCATTTTATGGTTCCTTATTCAGGACAAGCACAAAGGACCACATGCTACAAATCCTGTGACTATTTATATTCAGGCTCATGGAGAATCTTCCTAACCATCCTAATCCTATAAAAAGCTCCTTGAAAGAATAATACATAGCAGTTGACTTGGCATAGAAACATGGAATGATCTCAACTAAAATGCTGTTAAATGCCACGATTTGGTATTGAATAGTCATTGGGACCGTTGTACGTGGATGTTGTTGTCTGGATTCTTTCCTGTAGGTTCTGTGATCATGCAGATATAATCACCACTTTGCAAGTCTATATTCCATAAGTTCCCTAATAAGTGCTTTAAACACCAATCTGATTGTCCGAATTGCACAGGCTCTGTCAGCTTCCCCCTTTCCTGAATGCCTCACACCCTTCCTGCTTGTATCTGTCATGTCTACTCTAAGAGGCCAAACTTAATTTTTATTTATTTTTTTCTCAAAGCCTTCCTTTAGCATCCCAAATCTCAGTGACCTTGAGTTTGGATAACAGGTTTGATTTGTGCCGAGTCCTGGCATTTTCTCATCTATTTACTTTGCATTGTTCGTTTTTAGTCACAGACATGTTCTCCCCTCTTTAAACCATGTGCCTTTTCTACCTTGGTGGTACATCAACTTCTTGGAGGAAGAAAAGCACATGTCCTGTATGGTTCTGTGTTCCTAGCCCCTTGTGTAGAATCATAGAACACGCGTCTCTAACACTGAACAAGTATATTAATTGTCCTCATTGTACAGATAGGAAAACCAGGGTTCCGTTTGGTAGGAAATTTGAAGAAAGTCATACAACTGCTAAGTTTCAGGATAGAATATGAACTGGCTTTTCACTCAATATTCTTTTTATTTTTGTTTTGATTATTTTAGCTTTTAAATTGTATTTATTGATTTGAGTAGGTAATGTATGCAAATAGTAAAATAAAATAAAAATCCAAAGGTTCTAGGTCTCTTTCTGTTCTACCACACCGCTGGTAAGTTAATACTTGCTTGTTCTCAAAATGCCCTGATATTTTCCTCCATGAACCCAGCTTGCTGTTCTTACTTCTGGTGTTCTGTTAGTGGCTCCATGACAAAATCTTGGGATGACTTTTTTTACCCTTCTGTTGCTTGTCCAGTTAATTGGTCTCTAAAGACCAGCTCATACCTCAAGGGGCCTTCAAATTTATACCTGCCTTCTCCATTCTCACCGGTCCCCCAGATCCAGCCTTCACTCCTCCACCCAGATGACTGCAGTCTGGCTGCCCTCCCTGCCTCCTTTCACCCCCTTTCAGTTCATCTCAGGGTAGTCTAGAACCCTTCAGAAACTACAGGGAGTCCTTCTACCTTCCCATTGAATTCTTAGCTCGGGAATTCTTAACTATTTTTGTTATCCTGTTTAGTTAGTTTAGATAGTCTGGGAAGCCATTTTCAGTCTTTTTTTTTTTTTTATCCTCACCCGAGGACATTTTTCCATTTTTTGTTCAGATAGAGTGGGAGGGATGGGAGGGAGAGAGAGGAAGAGAGAGAGAGAGAAACATCGATGTGAAAGGGACACATCGAGTGGCTGCCACCCACATGACTAACCAGGGCCGGGGACAAACTGCAACAGAGGTACGCGCCCTTAGCGGGAACCGAACCCGGGTCTCTCTGGACCGCAGGCCGACACTTTAACCGCTGAGCCAAACTGGCCAGGGCCATTTTCAGTCTTTAAATAATAGTTTTAAATACATAAAATAAAACACATAAGATTATAAAGAGAACCATTTATATTGAAGTAGCTTTCAAATAATTTTAAAAGCAAATTGTGATATAGTAATGTATGTGGAATTCCTTATTATATGTAATAAGTAATTCCTCATTAATACATTAAATAACAAGGTCTCCAAGTAGGTGTGATAACTACAACCACTTCAAAGTAGTGATGAGTGCAAATGATAGATTGAGATACTCAACAGCATCTATGATGTGACATGATTTGTTTGTGATCTGTGATTTGTTTGGTGACGAGTCACAGGTCCTTCTACTGTTACTGTGGTGTGTTACCTATCTTTGTAATCAAAGGACATGCCAAATTTCAGTTTGAGGTTAGTGAAAATCATTCTTTTCCACTTGTGTTGTGGCCCCCAGGTTAAACCCTTCTTCCTGAGTCTGAATCTCAAGGCTCCATGAGGTCTGCTTTCTAGTTCTCTGTTGAAGCGTAAGCTTTGGGTCCATTGGCTGTGTCTGTGTGGGCTCTGCACCCTGCACCACACAGATGGGAGAGGAAACTGGGAAACATCCCATCTAACCTTATCCATGTCTCTCTGTTCTGTTCGCATCTCGCAGGTAGAAGAAGGATGGTGGGAAGGTGTTCTCAATGGAAAGACTGGAATGTTTCCTTCCAACTTCATCAAGGAGCTTTCGGGGGAGTCGGATGACCTCAGCATTTCCCAGGATGAGCAGCTCTCCAAGTCAAGTAAGGATGTCCCCTCCACCACGTAGAAAGGGGTGGGGACACCAGTGGGTGCTGCTTCTACCTCCCCTCTCCTCTAGTGTATGCCAAGCAGCTGTGACAAAAGCTCACGAGTATAATTTGGTTATGCTGCCTTAACCCATGAGGTTCAGTATGTTTATCATTGTACAGGTATGACTTGCACACCTTATGTGTGTGCAGATGCACACACTGTACGTCTCTGGATAGGTGACTGTCAACCTTCATGCCATGGTAATACTTCCTCACAGGTAGCCCATGTTGTTGTGCCTTCATATACTTCTAAAGTGTCACTCACTTCAAAGTTAATTATTTTTAAATGAAGCAAATGAGATTGCTATATTTCTCAGCATCCCTCGAAGAACGTGGAGAAGGATGGCACAAACATACATGAATCAGTGGTGAGAAATGCTGTGTTGGGGACGAGTGCATGCCAAGTCCTTTAAGAGTATGACAAGACAGCTGAGAGCCTAGCCCTGTGTTGGGTGAGCATGCATGTCCCTTTGCAATGGTGAGAACGAATCCAGGTCTTTCTTTCCCCAGGGCCTGAAGCTCTCCTCCCTCCAGCTTCTCTGCTGCCCTTTCCAGCTCACGGAGCAAAAGGTCAGGCCCGGGAAGCTTTGTTCTCCCAGTCGCTAACCCAACTTCCTGCGTGGGCGTCTGTATCTCTTGTGCCGTCTTGAGCCAAGGTCATGGGCATGAATGTTGTAAGAGGCTTGACTGTGTCATAGTGGTGAGACACTACCTGGTATTGTAGACTTTCCTTCCTGACAAGAGGAGGACAGCTATATCCTGTCAGAAGAATTCTTAAACAGCTTTCTTTTCCACTTGGAAAAATCTGACTTGAGTGGTATTCTCAAGTTTTGTTTCTTTTGATTAACCAGTAGCGTAATTGGACAAGTTCCCAATATGGAGGTAAAGCCATTTCCAGAGGGTTGGTCGGGCGACCTTCTTCACTTGGTGTCTCAGCAGCCCATCATCCATAGAAGCAACAGTGGCTTTGCTCAGTGGCTTTAGCTACACCCTTTCTCTCTACTTCCAAAGCCTGGGACCATTCACCTCTGAACCCCATTTCTGTCCTGGAATCTATAGTAGGAAGGATGGGAAGTGATTTTGGAGCAAATGAAGCATCTTGGAACTCCTGCTGCCTTTTCTAGCTTGAGGAGTGGGGGTTCTCTGTTCACATGGCCCAACCAATGAGTATGACCAGGAGAGCAGAAAGTGTCTGTGATCCCATGATAGTGGGAGTTGCTATAGCTCCCAAATTACACATTAGAATTTCTAACTACCTGGTGCTTCCTCTGTATACTGGAATAGTATTGTACCTGGGAGTCGGGTCCTATAATAACAATACTATACTTCAGGGATGTTGTAGATTAAATGGGCTTTTTTGGAGAGAGGACCAAATTGGGTCATTATAGCACTATTCCCATGGGGAAATGCATTATGAGTTCCAATAGCTATAATGTATATAAACCACCTCACTCATAGAAGGCCCTCTATTAATGGCCTCTCTCATTGTTAATCCATCTCTCTATCTGTCTGTCCAAATCTGTTCATCCTTCCTTCTCTCTTCCCTTCTTTCCTCCTTTTCTTCTTGGGACATAATCAGTTTGTATTTTGAGGTAGCTTAAACACCGATTGTTACCATGTTCTCTTAAACGTTGTCTGCACTTGGAAATTCCTTCAGGATTCCTCTACTGATATAGAAAGGGAGATCTGGGGAGGTGTTGGACAACCTTTTTGGGAGAACCCTGACCTCTTAGTATCCTGACATGGTAGCTAGGCTCTCAGAGCTGGAGGGTCAGAGAAGTAATGCCTCTTGTATTTTTTAAACTATTGAAATAAATTCTCCTCTTGCTCCAGGTCAATAATAGGGACATTTGACCCTGCTCAGCTCCAAGCAGGCAGTGCTGGAACTCCTGGGGCAGGTAGGAGGTTAGGAGGCTGAATGGCGTGGTCTCCCCAGTCGCGGAGCCTTCCTTCACATGCTTGCAAGGGGCTTTTTCTCTTGTAGAGACTGATTTCCCCAACACTTATTCAATTTAAAGCCTTCCATTTCAGGAGCAGGAGAGCCCAATAGTTTCAGCAGCCACATTTAGTTGCCCTGGAATCTGTCCCTTATTGAGGGGATTTTGAGGTCCTGAAGAGGCTTGTTCTTCTAAGAAAGATGGATGCTCCTGGTAAGAACTACATGGCTTTTATAATCTTCCTGTATGTACAGTTAAGGAGAAGAGGGCCTGTCTGTCTCTCTGTTCATCCATATCTATTCATCCATCCCTCCTCTCTCTTCCCTTCTTTCCTCCATTTTTCTCTATTCATGCAACCTTTGTTGTTGTTGTTGTTGTTGTTACCAAGACACTGTATAAGGCACTTAAGATATATAGAGACAAATCAGACAGGATCCCTGCCTTCAGTCCGAGAAAAGGGGTACACCAATCAGCAGAAGTTCAAGAAAGTACCCCAGGTGCTACGTTAGCTGGGTGCCTGAGGAAAAGTGGGATACAAAGACTGAGAAGCCAGCCCTGGCCGGTTTGGCTCAGCGGTTAGAGCATCGGCCTGCGGTCCTGAGAGACCCGGGTTCGGTTCCCGCTAAGGGCACGTACCTCGGTTGCAGTTTGTCCCCGGCCCTGGTTGGTCGTGCGGGTGGCAGCCACTTGATGTGTTCCTTTCACATCGATGTTTCTCTCTCTCGCTGTTCCTCTCTCTCCCTCCCACTCTACCTGAACAAAAAATGAAAAAATGTCCTCGGGTGAGGATAAAAAAAAAAAAAGACTGAGAAGCCAGTCCCATGGGGATGTGAAGATGATGATGGTCACAAAGGGCTTCATAGAAAAGCAGATGTGATAATGTCCCTATGGCTGGCTAAATTGGAATAATCTGAAAGAAAAAGAAATAGCATCTCTTAGTGTTCTGACAGGTTTTTCAGTAGCCATTTACCCTCTGATGTTAAAATTTATATGATCACATGCAGAAATTACATATGGAACCTCTGATTTTAGAGTGAATCTTCTTATTCCCTACCCTCAGAGAAGGATGTTAGTAGTTCTGATGCAATTTACTTAAATTTTTTTTGAACTATTTATAGATTCACAGGAAGTTACCAAAAAAAACACAAAACTGTTCAGGGAGGTCCTGTGCACCCTCCACCCAGTTTTCCCCAGGGATAATACCCTATATAACTATAAAAATACATATTTACTTTTATTATAGAATTGAGAAAGACTGATGTAGTTAATGCCCCAAAGACATCTAGCTTTTTACTGTGGTATAAACTAATTGTACTTAATCATGGTCTTTGTTAGAGCAGCCTACTTAGCACTCTTCCTAAATTACAGTTACTTTTTACAGAGATTGCTTAATTAATAGAAGGCTCTCCTAATGTTAGTGTCATTTTTGTGACTTTTAGAGATCCTAGAGGCATATAAAAATCCTCTTAATTTAAGGGGTAGCAGACATTAGGGTGGGGTTTTTAAGACAGATAAAAGCTTTATCCTGATACATATGAAGAAAACTTTGTGTACAATGTATCTTTATATGTATCTTTCACACACACACTCACTCCTGTATGTGCACATACTTATTTGGTATTTTTACTGTTCACCTTTCTACTTCCAGAAGGTATTTGAGGATAGTTATTCAGTTGAATTTTGTCAAGCAGTGGGTGAATACAATAGAAGAAACATTGCATTAGATTTATAAGGAATTGTGCCAAGACAGCTTAACACATGATAGGTGTTCACTGAATGCTTGCTGACTCCTTTCTTACCCTGAGGAGAGGCATTTTTATCTTTGAATGACAGGTGCAAATTGCTTGAGCTTGCTTTCCTTTTACCCTGATATATTTTTATGTTATGGTGGTTGGTTATGAAAAATATCTAAACTTTAGATCTTTGATTAGGATAACCTAATCTATCAAGGAAAGTGTTACAACAATTATATTAGTTGATATGTTGTTTTAAACATTTTATCTTGATAAGAAAATTCATTGTTATGTAGTAGAAACTTTTTGCTACATAATTAAAATAGAAAATATCTCTACTTTTCATAGAACTTATAGAACCTTAATAGTGCTTAAAATATTTTAAAAACATTTTTGGTTGTTTTAAGTCTCTTTCCATCACCATTTATCCCCCCTATACCCTCTTCTACATCCTCTGATAAGCTTTGTCTTTTAGAAAATTCCAAACATGTACACAAGTCTAGAGAATTATATAATGAACCTCTGTATGGCCTTCACCCAGCTTCAGCAATTATCAATATGGCCAGTTGGTTGTATTTATACCACTACACAATCCTCTCCTATATTGTTTTGAAGCAAACCCAGATGTCATATAATTTTATCCATAAATATAGTCATGTGCCGCATAGTGACATCTTGGTCAATGAGGGACCACATATCCAACGGTGTTCCCATAAGATTATAATGGAGCTGAATGCAAGGATATGTGGTGCAGGATGATTTTTCTTCTTTGACAGCAGCACTATCTGTGGGCTTGGCAATGGATTCCCTGTCACTCACAGCGCCTCAGTTTGAGTGTACCAATGAGATCCAAGCAGTCAGCCACTGACCTGTTTCAACACAGAGGAGCCTGTCCCCCCAGATCTACATATTCAGAGGGCGCTACACCCTCCCAGGTCTAGCTCGATTGTGTTCAGAGGACATGGCTGTAAATTCTTGAGCACCTAAGATCCTGTACCAGGACACAGGTCCACAGGTGCTACCGTCACCAGTACTCAGTGCCACACTGCCACTTGAGTAAAAGCTTTCTGTGGTAGTGTGGGGCCAGCCTGTCCCTGTGCTTTGGAAACATTTTCCAGTTGTCATGATGCAAAGTATAGATAAGTTTCATTTTTTCCATCAGTTCAATGCCAGAGAGAGCCCTTTTTTGCCAGATAGGGTCCATGGAACCAAAAACAAATTTCCAAAGTCCAAATATTGAATCCTCTCCACGTGAAACACCCTCTTTTTATGGATGCCGCGC